CCCCCAAAAAAAAAGAAGAAAAATGGTAATCGGACAAAGAAAGTAGCAAAACCGATTGATGGCACGTTGTATTTAGACAACTTTTCACAGACCCAAGTAACATCACATATCTTTCACGAGTAGAATGCAAGCTCAATTTGGGCATTTAGACAGGAAAAAACCAACCCAATTAATAGCTGATATTGTCATTATTTTGATCTATATTTTTCTATTCATCAAAATATATTCGTCATACTTTGAAAATCGAAAGAAATTCAGATTTTGATTTTAATAGGTGGGGTTTATAGCAGAACACCATTGACACTTCGTGCTAACCGGGGCCATGCTGGTCTGGGATCAACGAAAATGCCTTGAACAACGGACGCATTTTGTTTTATTTCCCGCGCGTTTCTCCACGATCAGCTGGTGACCCAGATACGCGCATCCGGGCGAAGTGCCATCTCTCTAGTATTACTGTAAACTCTCTGGTATTACTGTAAACTGTAAACGCTCTGGTCTTCCGCTGTAAAACAAAACAAAACAACACAAACTCTCTGCTGGTCCTCAGCAATTCTGCAAGGACCTTTATATAGAGATGGAAAAAAAAAGAAGGCCTGGGGGAGAAACAATCAAGTTAATTATACAACTCTCTATTGTAAATGAGTTATACCGATAGAGTTTGAGACTTCGATGAAAGCAATACCCGTCCTTGGGCGACACCAACTAGATCTACATAATTATAGTGTAAAATAGTACCTTTACTGAACATGGAATTACCATAAAATGTACATGTAGATTTAATTATGTCCTGGCTTTCTTTTGATGATTCAGTTGTAGTGTAAAGTTATCGTGATTTCTTTGTAGCTTCATCAACTATTAATATTTATTTTATAATAGGCCTATATTATATCGGTTTATTCTTTTTTTCATGATACAATATTAACGACAACTTCCCCCCCCCCCCCCCACTCCTAAAAAAGCAAGGAAACATTTTTAAAGTAGAACCAACCAAAAAAAAAAAAGAAGATTTTCTGCAAACAGACCATCGTTTTCACAAGGTTTGTTTAACAAGGGATATAAGCTTAATTCTTGCCTGTCGATTTAAGAATTTATGCAGAGCTGCTTCCCTTAAACCGTTTATGATGGGACCAATGTTTTCGCTAAATAATTAACATTACATGTATTATTATTATGTATTCATAGCATTCTGAATCCTGCTATTCAGATCGGTTATTGCTGATTGTGACGTTTGTTTTAGTAGAGGTTTTACGGCACTCACAACTGCGCAAGGTTATATGAGTGCCAAGAGGTGGAAGTCAACAGAGAAGCCCTTACAGGGAAACAGACTTACTCTGCTCACCTCTCTTGATTCAACAGCACAAAGTCTGCTTCGACTATCAAGGCACCCCGGAAATAGCGGGTCACAAGAGTGTGACAAACATACAAAAGAAGTAGAGAAAATTGACAATAGTAAGGATTATGAGAGAAAAAGCTACAGTTCCCTCTTGCAGTTCAGGCACAGTTATGAACATGACATCAATGAATCAGCCCATTTACAATTACAATTCCACTGTGCATAAGAACATGGTTAATGTCCCCCCTTTGGGAATGGCCCAAAGACACTTCAGTCAGTAGCACTGCCCAAGGGGGGGGGGGGGGGGGGGGGGGGGGTGAATGTGAAGACCACAGAAAGCATGGCAATATTTATATTAAAAAATAAAAATAAAGTGATTAATCCTCTTCGTAATCTTATAAGCAAAGGTAAAAAGATCAAACAAGTGAAGTTGGAATATCTAGGATATATTATTGCATCAGATGCCAAATGTTCCACAGAAATAGAACGAAAAATTGCAATGGTTAAAGATAGTTTCAATAAAATGAGCCCTGTCGTGAAAAATAGAAACATCCCAATGACTACCAAAATTAAAGTTCTGAAATGTTTTGCATGGTAGGTAAACTCAGCTATACAAATGTGAATGCTGGACGATCAATAAAGACAATGAAAATAAAATAGTAGCAGCAGAAATGTCGTTTCTCGGAAGACTGAATATCTTAGAAGGAAAAGAAATCAAATTTAATGAGTTAGTACTTGAAGAAGCCCATGTGGGCTGCTCGCTGATAAAAACAATCAGGAAATGACAAATGCAGTTTCTGGGATACTTAAATAGACATAATATAAAGGCTTTGAACATCAAAGCTCTTGGTGACAACATTGA